TCTGGGATCCGCTGCCCGCGGGAGTTGATCCCTGCCCGGCCTCCCCCCGCAGATAAACTCTTCGGGAAGCGGCTGCTCCAGGCCGGGCGCTACATCATGTCCCACAAGGCCTGGATGAAAACGGTGCCCACGGAGAACTGCGACGTGCTGATGACATTCCCGGGTAGGAACGGCCCGGGAAACCGGGGAAACCGGGATAGGGGCGGGGTGGGACTGGAAAAACCGGGATCGGGATGTGATCGGGAAAATCGAGATCAGGGTGGGGCCGGGAAAACCTGGATCGGGATGTGATCGGGAGAACTGGGATCGGGAAAACCGCGATCGGGATGTTATTGGGAAAACCAGGATTGAGTTGTGGCCAGGAGAACCGGGATAGCCGGGGCAGGAGCGGGTGGGGATGGTAGGAAGAGCTGGGGAGGGGGCAGAGGAGATGGGGAATTGGGGGATTGGGGATGTGGGATTGGGGTGGGACGTGGGATGGGGCAGGGATTGGGGATGCAGGCAGGGGTAGGGACGTGGGAAGGGATAGGGAATGTGTGGATGGATGGGGACCGGAACAGGGACAGGTGACAGGATGGGGACAGGGATGAGGGACACAGGGATGGAGGGGCACCGGAACAGGGATGAGGGACACATGGCAGGATGGGCACCGGGCCGGTGACACGGGGCAGGACACACGGCACTGTCCCTGCAGACAGCACGGATGACCACACGCTGCTGTGGCTGCTGAACCACATCCGCCTGGGTATCCCCGAGCTGATCGTGCAGGTGCGGCACCACCGGCACACGCGTGTCTACGCCTTCTTCCTCACCGCCACCTACGAGAGGTGCGTGCCAGCCCCCGGCATGTCTCCAGCATGTCCCCAACACTGTCCCAACACTGTCCCCACGCTGCCCCCCAGCTTGCTGCGCGGGGCGGACGAGCTGGGGCTGCGCAAGCCGGTGAAGGCGGAGTTCGGGGGCGGCACCCGCGGCTTCTCCTGCGAGGAGGATTTCATCTACGAGAACATCGACAACGAGCTCGGCTTCTTCAGCTCCCAGGTGGGAACGGGGTGTGGGGAACGGGGTGTGGGATATGGGGTGTGGGGGTACGGGATGTGGGTAAGGGGATATGATATACCCGGATGTGGGGCACAGGGATAGTGGGTACAGAACAACGGAAATCCAGGGATATGGAGGTGTTGGGATATGGGGATACGGGACAGGGGGATCTGGGGAGGCTGGGTGAGGATACAGGCACCCCTGGCACTGGGGACAGGGACAGGCCAGGGCCAATGGCAGCGTGTCCCCTGCAGGAGCGGCAGAGCATCATCCGCTACTGGCTGGAGAACCTGCGGGCCAAGCAGGGCGAGTCCCTGCACAACATCCACTTCCTGGAGGGCCAGCCCATCAGTGAGTGTGGCACCTGGTGACACTGCCATGGCAGCCAGTGATACTGCTGACACTGCCATGGCAGCTGGTCACACTGCCATGGCACCCGGTGACAGTGCCATGGCAGCCAGTGACACTGCTGACACTGCCATGTGTGGCATCTGGTGGCACCTGGTGGCACCTGGTGGCACTGGCCCTGTGGCACAGCGCTCCCACCGTCCCCATTGTCCCTGTGCCAGCCCCACCACCCCAGGGCCACACGGAGTGGCAGTGGGGATCCCGGGCCGTGTCCCCGCTGTCCGTGACCTCCTGTCCCCATTGTCCCCATCCCTGGGGCCGTGTGCTGGGCGGGGACTGTAGGATCCTGGTGGGCACAGAGCTGTCCCCACTGTCCCCACCCCTACTCCCGCCCCCCCAGGGCCCCTCGGGGTGGCAGTGGGGACCCCGGGCCGTGTCCCCGTGTCCCCGCTGTCGCTGACGCCGTGTCCCCGTGGCAGTCCCGGAGCTGGCCGCACGGGGGGTGATCCAGCAGCTGTTCCCGCTGCACGAGCAGAGGATCCTCAAGCGCCTGATGAAGTCCTGGGTGCAGGCGGTGTGCGAGGCGCAGCCCCTCGGTGAGATCGGGGGCGCTTTGGGGGGCTCGGAGGGTTTGGGGTCACCCCAGGAGGGTTTGTGGGGCCCTAGCCCTTCAGTGAGCTTTGGGGTGACTCCAGTGGAGTTTTGGGGTCCCGGCCCCACTGATGTTCCCTGTGCCCCACCCAGATGACATCTGTGACTATTTTGGGGTGAAGATCGCCATGTACTTTGCCTGGCTGGGCTTCTACACCTCGGCCATGGTGTACCCGGCCGTGTTCGGCTCCATCCTCTACACCTTCACCGACAGCGACCAGGTGGGGCCTCTGGGGCCACTCTGGGGGCTTCCCAACCTTCCTGGGGGGTTTCCATGCCCGCTTGGGGTTCCCACCCTTCTGTGAGGGTTTCTACACTCCTTTAAGGGTTTTCATCCCTCCTTGGGGGTTTACCAACTCTCCTTGAGGGTTTCCATCCTTCCTTGAGGTTTTCCATCCCTCCTTGTGGGGTTTTGCCCCCTTCTCTGATGGATTCCTTCCTCCGTTTCCCTCAATGCTTCACCCCATCCATTCCTTCAGGGCTAGGGGGCTGTGGGGGCGGGGAGGGGACCAACCCCGGTGCAGTTGGTGCTGTCTGTCCCCCAGACCAGCCAGGACATCTCCTGCGTGGTCTTTGCCATCTTCAACGTCATCTGGGCCACACTGTTCCTGGAGGAGTGGAAGCGCCGCGGCGCCGAGTTCGCCTACAAGTGGGGGACCCTGGACACCCCCGCAGAGTCCCTGGAGGAGCCACGGCCCCAGTTCCGGGTCAGACACCAGCACGGGGTCCCCTCCCTTCTGGGGCCCTATTCCTTGGGGTCCTGTCCCTTCTGGGGGTCCCATTCCTTGGGGGATCCCATCCCTTTCGGGGTATCCCATTCCTCAGGAGGGCCCCCAGATCCCATCCTGAGGGGGGCTCAGCCACCAGCCCCAGGGTCCCAGCAGGGGTCCCTGGATCTTTGGGGTGCCTGGAGCTGTGGGGTGCCAGGATCTGTGGGGTCCCTGTCCCTGTGTGTGCCATGGACCGTGGGTCCCTGGTGCTGTGGGGTCCCTGTCCCTGTGGGTGCTCAGGGGGTTCCTGTGCCCGTGGGTGCCCCATGTCTCCCTGGCCCTGTCCCTGTGAGTGCCCTATGGGTCCCTGTCCCTGTCCCCTGTGTGTGCCACGGGCCGTGCCCACAGGGCACCAAGCGGATCAGCCCGGTGACCAGCGCTGAGGAGTTCTATTACCCGCCCTGGAAGCGCCTCCTTTTCCAGAGCCTCGTCAGCCTCCCCATCTGCCTGGCCTGCCTCACCCTCGTCTTCCTCCTCATGCTCGGCTGCTTCCAGCTCCAGGTGTGGCACCGGCCCTGGGGACAGTGACAGTGGCACTGCTCTGGGGACAGTGACAGTGGCACTGCTCTGGGGACAGTGACAGTGACACTGCTCCTGCTGCTGGTGCTGCTTCTGCTGCTGGTCCTGCTCTGATCCTGATCCTGGCCCTGATTGTCTCCCTGTCCCATCCCTGTCCCCACCTTGTCCCTGTCCCTGTCCCCACAGGAGTTGGTGCTCAGCATCCAGGAGCTGCCGCGCGTCCTTCGCTTCCTGCCCAAAATCATCCTGGCTGTCATTGTCACCACCTGTGATGAGCTCTACAAGAAAGTGGCCTTGTGGCTCAATGACATGGGTGCGCTGGGGACCCTGCGGTGGCCCTGGGGTGGCCCTGGGGTGGCCTTGGGACCCCCGGGCCCCCCTGACTCGCCCTGTGCCCTGCAGAGAATTATCGGCTGCAGAGCGCCTACGAGAAACACCTCATCATCAAAATGGTCCTGGTGAGGGGACACGGGGACACTGGGGTGACACTGAGGGAAGACTGGGACACAGGGACACTGGGGACACGGGGACAAGGGGACCATGGGGGACATGGGAACATGGGGGGACATGGGGGCATGGGGATATTGGAGACATTGGGGACATGGGGGACACGGGGGCACACAGGGACATGGGGACACGGAGGGGACACTGGGGGACTGGAGGGGGCCAGGATCAGGGACACGGGGGAGTGGGAGGGACTGGAGAGGTCCTGGCAGCTCTTGCTGAGGGGACAGAGGGCACTGGGGCTCTTGGTGAGGGACAGAGGGGACCAGAGAGGTCCAGCAGGGGCAGAGGGGTCCTGGCAGCTGCAGAGGTGACAGCTGGGGCTGGAGATGTCACAGAGGGGACACGGAGGGAAGCAAGGTCTCAGCCAGCGCTGAGGGGACACCGAGGTGACCGAGGTGCCACCCTGCTGTCACCACCAGTTCCAGTTCGTCAATTCCTACCTGAGCCTTTTCTACATCGGATTCTACCTCAAGGACATGGAGCGCCTCAAGGAGGTGAGGGGACCCTGCCAGCGGGGCCGATGTCCCCACAGTGTCCCCAACACCCCTCCAGCCCCTCCACCACCACCGCATCCCTCCGGCTGTCCCCGCCTGTGTACCCGCCCAGCGCGGCTCACGGCGTGTCTCTGTCCCTGTGTGGTGTCGCCGTGTTGTCCCTTTGTGTCCCTTTTGTGTCCCTTCCGCAGCTCCTGTTCATCCTGTCCCTGTCGCAGAGCCTCGCGCGGCAGCTCCGGGAGGCTCTGCTCCCCTCCATCTTCCTCCACCTCCACCTGTCCCTCATCTTCCTCAGGCGCCTCCTGCGCTTTTGCTGGACCCTGGGAGTATCCAAAGTAGGAGCGTGGGGACACCCAGGGGACCCAGGGGACACCCAGGGACCACTCAGGGGGCACCCAGGGGACACCCAGGGGACACCCAGGGGACACAGGTGTCCCCAGCCCACCCAGGGTGGCGGTGGCGCTGCTGCGGCCCCCCCCCATGGGGGTGTCAGTGGTGGGAGGAGGTTACAGCAGAGGGGACACTGGTGGGGTGACACAGAGGGGTGGGGACACCACGGGGACAGCAGAGAGGATCAGGGACAGCACGAGGAGACCTCAAGAAGAGCAGGGACACTGGGGGGACATCAGGAGCGAGGACAGCACAAGGGAAGCAGAGACACCACAAGGGGAGCAGGGACATTGTAGGGACAACAGGGAGGAGCAGGGACACCACAAGAAGAGCAGGGACACTGTGGGGACATCAGGAGCAGGGACAGCACAGGAGCGCCAGGAACCCCGCGGGGCCAGGCCATGGGCACATTCCGCGGCCATTGGCGTGGGGGGGTGACACCGCGTCCCGCGTGTCCCCGCAGATGCTGGCCACGCTGCTGATCACGCGGCAGTTCCTGCAGAACGTGCGGGAGGTGTCGCAGCCGCACCTGTACCGGCGGCTCCGGCGCGGCGAGCTGAGCGTGCGGAGCCTGCGGGAGCTCGGGCGGGCCCTGCTCCGCCTGCTCGCCCCGCGGCCGCCCCCGCACGGCCCTGCGGAGCGCGGCGAGAAGAAATGCCTGAACGGCGGCTGCGGCGTGCCCGAGGAGGAGGAGGAGGAGGCGGCAGGGGAGGAAGAGCGGCGCGGCTCGGACTCGGAGGAGGAGAGCGCGCTGGACTGCGGGCTGAAGCTGAAGAAGGTGAGCTTCATCGAGCGCGCCGAGCGCCGCGCCGAGCCCGCCGGCACCGAGGACGAGCCCTTCCTGGAGGAGGGCAGCCCCACCATGGTGGAGAAGGGCATGGACCCCGCGGCCGTGTTCGAGCTCTGCGAGGACGAGGAGGAGGCCGAAGCGCAGCCCGGCAGCCCCGGCAGGGCGGCGGAGCCGGCGGTGCTGGCGAGGAGGAGGAGGAGGGAGGAGGAGGAGGGCGAGGAGGAAGGGAGGAAGCGCAACCGCGCCTCGTGGATCGACCCCCCCGAGGAGGATTACTCCACGCAGCTGACCCAGGCTGAGGTGGAGAGCTGCATGAAGAAGTATGAGGTGGGTGGCTTCTGTCCCCTTTGTCCCCTTGTCCCTGGACCTCCTGGGTTCCCCAAGGTGTTCTGGGGCTCTCTGAGGTGTCCCTGTAGCCATCAGGATCCCCCAGGTGTCCCATGGGGCCCCTGAGGTGTCCTTATGTCTGGTGGCCTCCCAGAGTGTCCCTTCCTGAGGTGTCCCTTGTGGCCATCAGGACCCGGGGTGTCCCATAAGCTCCCTGAGATGTCCCCATGCCTGGTGGCCTCCCAGAATGTCCCTTCCCAAGCTGTCCCATCAAGAGCCACCGCGGAGCCCCCGGTGACGTGTGCAGTGTCCCCGCTGTCCCCTCAGGACACCTTCCAGGACTACCAGGAGATGTTCATCCAGTTTGGCTACGTGGTGCTGTTCTCCTCGGCCTTCCCGCTGGCGGCCGCCTGCGCGCTGCTCAACAACGTCCTGGAGATCCGCAGTGACGCCTTCAAGCTCTGCACGGGCCTGCAGAGACCCTTCGGGCAGCGCGTGGCCAGCATCGGCCACTGGCAGGTGGGACATGGGGACAGCATTGGCCACTGGCAGGTGGGACATGGGACACGGGGACAGCGGGGACAGCATCAGCTCAATGTGGTCCCCATTAACCACCACACTAATTAACAAATTAACCAAAAACCCTATAATTAATGCCCCAATTGTGTCTTGCAGAAGGTAATGGAGGCCATGGGCGTCCTGGCCATCATGGTTAACTGCTACCTGATCGCTCAGTGTGGGCAGCTGCAGCGCCTCTTCCCTGGGCTCAGCCCCCAGGCCGCCATCGTCTGCGTTGTGGTGCTCGAGGTACCGGGGGAACCCCTGGAGTCACCCCAATGGGGGCTGGGGTCACCCCAGGGTCACCCCAATGGGGTTTGGGGTGCCCAGGCTGGGTCACGGCTCAGGGAGATGATGGCTGAGGGTGGGGATGGCCAGGGGAGTGCTGGGCTGGATGGGCGAGAAATCCCTGGGTATTCAAATCCCTGGGTATTCAAATTCTCGGGTACTCAAATTCCGGGGTACTCAAATCCCTGGGTATTCAAATCCCAGGGTACTCACAGCTCTGGGTACTGACAGCCTTGGGTATTCAGATCCCTGGACAATTAATTAATTAATTCCCTGGACACTGGGCCAGATTTTGGGATGGAAATTCTGAATTTTGGGATGGAAGGGGTGGATTTTGGGATGGAAGGATGGGATTTCAGGAGTGCTGGGAATGCTGAGGTGTGTCCCCTGTCCCCCTGTCCCCGTGTCCCCAGCACTTCGCCCTGCTCCTCAAGTACGTGATCCAGGTGGCCATTCCCGACATTCCCGCCTGGGTGGCCGAGGAGATGGCCAAGCTGGAGTACCAGCGCCGCGAGGCCTTCAAGGTGGGTCCTGCCGGAGTGGCGTTCCTAAAACGTCCCCAAGGTGTCCCCAAAGTGTCTCCAGCACCACTGGGCTCCCAGAGGTGTGCCCATGGCTGGTGGCCTCCCCAAAATGTCCCTGTGACCTCCCTGAGGTGTCCCCAAGCCCAGTGTCCCCTGAATGTGCCCCTCAATGTGTCCCTGATGTCCCCTAGATGCATCCCCTGTTGTGTTCCCATGCCTGGTGTCCTCCTCAATGTCCCCATGCCCAGTGTCCCCTCTATGTCCCCTGGCCATGCCCCATGCCCGGCGTCCCTTCAATGTCCCCTGGCTGTGTCCCCTCAATTTCCCCCAGCCATGCCCCATTCCCGGTGCCCCCTCGCTGTCCCGGTGCCCCCTCGATGTCCCCTGTCGCTGCCCCCAGAAGCACGAGCGGCAGGCCCAGCACCATTTCCAGCAGCAGCAGCGCCGCAAGCGCGAGGAGGAGGAGGAGGAGGGCGAGGAGGAAGGGAGGAAGC